TCCATTAACCAATTTTTTAAATGATTCAATAAATTTTTTTTAAATGATTCAATAAAAATGAACACTTATTTTGAATTTATCATACACTAAATATTTAAAATAACATGTACTAAATATTTCACAAAAACAACATACACTTTATATTTAAAAAAAGATACTCGGAATATTTAAAAACAACATACATTGGATATTTAAAAAACAACATACACTAAATATTTAAAAATAACATAAACTGAATATTTAAAAACAACATACACTGAATATTTAAAAACAACATACACTAAATATTAAGATGAAAAAAAACGATTACATGTAGCATGCGTAGTTTGTAGCACTTTGATCCTTCCATCGTAAATCTCATCCCATTTTACCCTGGTAGCGTTTTTGCTTGCGACGCCGAGAATATGATATTTCTCCTTCTGGTCTTATTGGTGGCAATATCGGATATTCTGCATAATTAAAATTATTTGGGAATATCACATGTGTAATATGACCGGCATAGCATATATGGTATCGTTGCAAGCTATACAGGTGAGAGACACAACCATCCGCACGTCCCTTGAAAGAATGGAACAAATAGTGTACATGCACGCAGGGAATCCCGTCTCCTTGCCATTGTCCACAAGTACACAACTTACTCCCCAAGTCGATCACGAAGCTCTACATATGCCCTAGGTTAGAGAAGGAAGCTCTAGAGACAACGTATTGATTTCCGCCATAATGCACCGCATGAAACATTTGTTTATGTTTTTCCCTCGCTTCAGAGATCTTTGAAATCTTCGGAGTAAATCATAGATTTTTTCGTTGCCAATCAAAACAGGACGTGCATCGTGACTCGAACGAATCAACGAGTTTATTGTACGACATGATGATAATAGCACTCACCGGTAGCATTCGACAACCTTTTAGCATATCGTTGAAGCTCTCTGAACTATTCGTGGTAAGTATCCCACATCGACTACCGCCTTTGAATGCTAGTGTCCATAACTACTGTGGAATCTTAGCAAGATATTGATATGTTGGTTCACCTGGACACTCAGAGTTCACCTGCATAAAAAAACGACAATGAATTAACGATTATTTTCATATAGAATTATATATTTAAATTAATACTATATATAAGAGTATTAAATAAAAATATACCTTTTGGTTTTAAAAATGAAACACAAAAAGAGGAAAAGAGGTGGAGAGGATACAGGAGTCTTGTTCTTTGAACTCACTCTTTATATTTGAAATTTTAGTTAAACCTTGTTCGGCAAACATAGGTTTGACTTTGGCATATTTAAATCCACACGCAAAGGCCAAGACTGAGACAACAGCAACAACTTTTCCTTTTGGCAGCGAGTTGCTGACACATCTTGTTCATCAAACACACACTTTTATTTAATGTTCAAAATATGTGTTCAGCAAACCCACTTTACATCAACCAGCAATAGTTTGGAAAAATAGGAATTGACAACCTACTTTATTCACTGAACGGGAAAGCACTCGTGGATATGTGTATTACATAGCAACTTTTAGCCTCATATCATTCATGTCAGACTCGCCCACGCATATAAATGATCAATTATTATTTTTTCTGCACAAGTCTATTTGAAGATGCTTACATGGTCCCAAGGGCCACATTTTAAATTGTGGGCCTTCTTACATTTTTATAGGCTTTCATGTAGATATTTTATAGTTTGAAAAACATACAATTCTTTTAGGCTACAAATATACTAAGATTCATAAAATGAGCATGGATCCGAAGTCAACGGAAAATTTTCCCTATTTACTTGAAAGGAAAAAAATAACTTTCTCTTAAACATAAATCACCAAAATGGAATAAATTCTACTTATCCTCTTTTTGATGCATTTTGACTTCTTATTTTCTATTTATTCCACTCTTCTTCTCATTTCCTCTTAACTCCGTTGGAAACAAAATAGGAACCAAGTACTTCCTCCTTTCTAGAGAAGCGCAAAAGGATTGGGATCACAAAGATTGACCAGGATCAACTACGATTGAAACATGAAGATTGGGACCGAACCAATCCTTAAGACTAGTTTGGTCTAAGAACAGTAGTCTCAAATAATCTTAGGTTTATAAGGATGTCTGTGCCTAGTCCGAGACCATTGAAGAACCTGTAGAAGACTTAGACCGATCCTGGACTAGTAGAAGATCTGTCCAAAGAGTAGGACCAGCGTATAAGATTGATCATCCAAAGTATTTATTACTCCACCGTCCCAATTTATATCGCATGTTTCGGTTTACGATGTTTGACGAAATTATTTTCAAATATAATTAAAAAATAGAAATTAGATCAAAAGATCTACAAAAGTAGCTAGAGGGGACATAACTAAAATACACAATCCATCAGCCACTTTAGCATCCATTGTCGTGTCATTAAGGTCACCATTACTGGATGAAACTGAATGTCCCATACCTCCACACTCCCCAACTTGCGGATCACCTGCATACAATTTTCCATCTTCAGTCCGAAGCTACTATGAGGCCGCACTTAAAGAAGTCTTGAATTCTGCCTTTAGCCACGGTCCAAACATAAATTCCCCCTTCATGATCTCTATCAAGCTAAAGGCTTTTCGACAAAACTTATTAGTATGTACAATGATCCCAGAAAACTAGAAAAAGGTTCAAAGTCTCTCATACTTGAAGGTGATTGCCACTCCTCTCCTCTTGGCAGTTTGATCTTCATTAACCTCTTAAGAAGTCGTTGAACATCCATCTGAATCCGTATTCGCATGTAGTCCCTCCACGATTTAGTGAAATTATTTGCATCTGTTCGCACATAATCCTCTAGAGTATTTCCAATCTGTTTGAGCACCCACTCAGATCGAAGGCCTGCCACCCATCTCCTTGAAAATCCCCCCATTCATGGGTTTGTCCATGAGCAGTCTTCCAAGCATCACGAATTGTTCTTCCCCTTCCCCATTAATGGAATACTCTTCCGCATCCTTGCAGATCATTAGAAACTCTATTCACCTTGTCGTCAGTATTGTACATTGAAAATTGCAACTCTCACAACAGGGAGAGAGAAAACCTAGGATCGCCCTAGGAGAATTTCTTGACAAAGGCGCTCACTTAGACTTACAATAAATTAAAATTCAAAATTATACCAAATTATTGGTATAAAAAATATCTTAAATATATTATTGGTACCAAATTACTCCCTCCGTCCTAAAACCATCCTCTCGATTGACTAAATTGGCTTTGACTTGACAAAAATACCCTTTTTCTAAACTTGGAAAAAGGGATCAGAAGTCTGCAAACAATTTGGAGCAATCCCACCCCACTTCGGAGCAACCCTCCATAGCAACAATAGCTGGCCTGAAACCATTTTGCAGCGAGCCAAAAATTGGGCAAATGTCACCGAAGTAAAAGCCACTAACGTATTTGGGCAAATCTCACAGGGTCAGTCATGTAGCATCCAATAATTAACATTGCGATCTGAAAGAGATGACGTTTTCCCTGCGACTTACTGCTCTCTCACGACCTAGTCAGCGACGGGGCGGTCTGCTCGGCAATGGTGGAGGCAAAGATTAGATCTATTTTTTGACGGAGAGAAGATTATATCTAAATCTTGAAGGAAAGAGAAGGTAAGATCTAGATTTTGAGGGAGAGGGAAGAAAGATGGAGATGATTATGCCTAAATTTTGAGAGAGATGGAGGAAAGATGGGGATAAGAAATTGTTGTGAATGAGAGAGAAGAGAGAATAAGAGAACGTAGATGAGGACGAGTGAGAGGGAAACCCAATGGAGAGAACCGATGGAGAGAAGCGAGCAAATTGAGAGAGGGGGTAACAAAGTCTATTCACACCCTTTTTTAAGAAGTGAGAAGGTAGTTTTAGGACGGAGAAAAAAGAGAAGTGGGAAAATAGTTTTAGTACGTAGGGAGTAATATTTTTTTATTAATATATTTTAATAAAAAAGAGGCTCACTTAGACTTACAATGAATTAAAATACTCCGTAAAAAATTGTACCAAATTATTGGTATCAAAAAATATTTTAAATATTTTATTTATAATATTTTTTATTGATATTTTCTTCGTGCTTAAATATTTACGACATTTGCTTTTTCAATAGTCATGAGAACTTTTGTTTATTTATATATTTTTATTGATTATTTAATAAAATAAAATATTTTTAGACACCTCTTATTTCAAAAATTTTCATGTATTTTTAAAATTTATAAATTTTATTTTTATTTCTATACTAATGTTTAAATAAAAGGAATAGAAAAAACTTGACATTGTTTTTTAAAATGTGGCAAATAAGGGGTATAGTGAGTCCGAGTGAAGCAATTTGAGTAGACCTGACAAAAAATGACCTGACCTGTTTTTGACCCAAGATCCGACCCGAAAATATTGGGTTTTGAACAAAGGTTTTGCTGACCGAACCCGAAATTACCCGTTAAAAATATGTCAAACCCGACCGAACTTGAACCCGAACCCGACCTGACCGACCCGCTAATGTGAGAATTTTTCAAAATCATATGCTTTAATATGTAATTTAATGTTATAAAAATAAGATTTTAATTTTATTTCTTTGCTTTCTACTCATTTTTAATGTTTAAATTTATATTTTCATACAAAATTTTAATGATATCGCATAGTTATTTATCTTTTTTCAAAATTTTCTGCATATTTAGATTTTTTATTCGTAAAATTGATAATCGATCATAAAAATTACTTAAAATTTCAAAAAATAAATGAAAGTAATAAGCGGTTGGGTCCACCCTTAACTTACAGAACCGAAGTAACCTGAATCTAAGTTGATCTAAACCAAACCGGACCTGCTTTTTTGGCAGGGAAAATGCTAGAGTCACAAACATATAGTTCACAAACTTGACCTTTGTGGATTTTAAAATAAAATATCTTTTATTATTTGAGTGCATCTTATTTCTAGAAAAATGTTAAAAAAGTAAGTGTGTGAATTTTGTGAATTGTTTGTTTGTGACTCTAGCATTACTCTTTCCGCAGCTCTAAACTTGAGCAAAATGACTGAGAAGACAGAGGCATAGGCTGCAGTGTCATCGGAATCAATCACGCTCTCGATCGTATCAAACGCGTAGCAGCAAAGCGGGGCTCACGATCCGGGGAGTCAACGGTAGCAGTGAGGCATGATCTCCCAGTTCTTCGTGCTTTCTCAGAGGGGAGACAGCATTGTCTTCCGCGACTGTGAGTTATCTTTCTATCCCTGCACACAAACATGTGATGTATCTATCTAAAGCCGCGATTGTTTTTTGTGCGTTGGATTTTATGGAATCCAGATCTTGTCAATCCAATCATGCTGAGAAATCTATTCTCAACAACTTTTGGTTTTGATGAGTTTGTGATTGTGAGCTGGAAGTAAAGTTACAGGATCTTCAATTGAGCTTCCTGACCTGAATTGCTGTATGCCACTAACATATGGGTTTGCTCGTTCTAATTCAAGTTCTCTTCAATTGTAGCATCTGAATTAAGTGGAGCAGTTATTTAAAAATCTACTATGAATTACACAATATTCAATTCTAAAAGGGCTTTAAATAATAAATTAGAATACCATTTTCTGCTTGCTTCCATGATTTAAGTTCATCGGCATATATTGCTGGATTTGCTGCAATTAAGTGTTTGCTAACCGATGCCCTTAAGACACGGATCTAGAGGTGCGAGCTGAGATTAGTTTGTACTTTGTCACCCCTAATTAGATAAGTGCCAAAATTGTTGTCCCTAACTTTTTAGTCTTTTTTTCCATTAAAATTGCTGCCCGCCGTTAGAACATAATGGCATGATGGAAATTAAGGATTGGATTTGAATGCACTAAAAATAATGAATTGGATTTGGCTATATTTTCTTAGCACTTTCAAGCGCAGTTGATAGTGGTGTAACCTTACAATTCCCCTTACTAAATATTCTCCAACTTTTGTCATTCCTATTATTTTTTACATATTTATCTTGCTAATATCTGGAACTCTTCCCTCCAATCTATGGGTTTTCTTTTGTGTTTGTTAAAATGACAACTTTGCTATCGATTACAATTTACATATTCCATTAAATTACACAAAATGAAAAAAACAATGGCTAAACTTGCTTTTTTTACGAAGTACGACCAGTACTTATCTTCATAGTTGGAGATGTTTTTAGGAAAATTCTATCTACGGTGGAACTTCATATCGACAAAATAAGTAACTACTTACTATTGAGATGGACATTTACTTTTTTAAAATGTCAGAAGCTTAACTTTTTTTTTGAATCTTAAGTTCATAATAAAAGCACCCTTTCTATTAAGTTCATCGTCTCATTTTGGTTTGTTTGTCAAAGTAATGCCCTTTTTGGAAGTTGGCTGTTAGCTCTTGGCTAGCTGTTCGAAATGGCTGATGAGTTTGGTTGGTTTGATCGGCTGGATGTGTTGGATGATTGTTAAAAGAATGTTTGGTAAACTTAGTTCTTTGCAAATAGTTGTTTCTAGATTTTAGAAAAATAAAAATAAATTATATATGTATATATATATGTATATAAATATTTAATTCTAACAAAATATAAATGCTATACTTGTATTTTCCTTTTGTCGATGTAAAAATTAAAGGGAGACGGATTGCAATAGGAGTAAAACATAAGACAAAACCAAAGTTAATATTTAATATATTAAAATATGCTTTCATATAACTCATAGCAATTTATAATGTAGAAATTTTTAATCAGATGCAATAAGATGGTTAAATGAGAGCGCATATACATTGTAATTTTTTTAATAAATAAGCCAATTTTTGTAAAACACAAGTATTTTTTATTTCTAATTTTTTTATATTTTATTTGTCTATTCTCTTTTCTAAATTTTGATCTTTTCTATTGAGGGATTTAATTTTGATCTTTTATTTTCTCATTTCATTTATTTTATTTTATATTATTTTGGGTATTTTTTATTTAATTTTAATTTTTTACATAAATTTATAAAGAAAAAAAATTAAGAAATTAATTTTTTTCTAACAGCCAAGTCCAAAAGCTACTCCTCTTGGCTTTTTCAGATTTTGGTTTTTCGAATCGAGCAGCTGAGTGAAACAACCATTTTCCAAACACTGATTTTGGCTGTTTGATTGGTCAGAACAGCCAAAGTAAGTCCAAGAAGCCAACTTTAGGTGCTTAAATGCTCAGACGACACATGCAAGAAAGTATTGGATTTTGATTGGGTGGCTATTTTTGAAAGAATTGGTTTTTGCTAAATGCTCAGACGACACATGCAAGAAATTCACGGAGGGAGCAAAGTATAATCATTTAAGTTTTGGATTCATGTCAGCAGGACTCATGCAAGAATTACAAATCAGATTACTGACATGACTAAAATTTTGTTTCCTTAAGACAATTTCAAACAAGATGATTTTCTCTTTACTCTACTGAGTTCACACACATCTGGCTTTAGTGATTCTATTAATCTTTACAAAAATAACCCTTTAAATGCAGATAGAGGAGATGTACAAAAAGGAAGTGCAGAGATTTTCTTTCGCAAAGTTAAGTTTTGGAAAGAAGATGGGGAAGAAGAAGCACCCCCTGTATTTGTAGGTATCTTTTCCATTGTAGTGCTGTCGTTAGTGTCTATTTCTCAAGCAGTAAAGGTTTCTTTGAACTTTAAAGATTCATTTTTCGCCTTCTTTAAACCTTTGAAAATTGAAAATTTGAAATAAGTAAATATTGGTTTATGTTGGTTGATAACTGCCCTTTATCCTTTTATATTTTTCTTTAATCAAATCAAGTTTATTTGTCCCCACTTTTACCTATTTCTATTTTGTTTAATTGTCCAATTTCTTTTCCCTTCTTCATGCTCATGTCAATTTTTTTTCTCTCTACAATTTTGGTATAATACTTCTATTAACTGCTATTCATGAATAAATGATAATGGCGTCATTCATTTTCCTCAATAGAATGTGGATGGTGTAAATTACTTCCATGTGAAGGTTGTTGGTCTGCTTTTTGCTGCAACTACGAGGACCAACGTCTCACCTTCTCTGGTGCTGGAGGTTCTACAGAGGATTGCACGTGTTACCAAAGATTACCTTGGCATTCTGAATGAAGATTCCTTGAGAAAGAATTTTGTACTTGTGTACGAGCTACTTGATGAAGTTATTGTAAGTAAAATAGTTGGAACAGGGTACAATGAATTTGTGATTCTAATTCTAAAGAATGATCTATCTGCAATATAGCGCAGCAATGTTGTTGCGTATTGCTGATACTGCAGTTTTATTCTTTCATCAAGCATAGGTATGAGTTATCCTATCTGTTAGGTCAATGAGTTTTAAAATTTAAATTCATATATATTGGCAAATTTGGATGATACTTGCTGACCAACCACTGTCAATTCAACCAATAAAGGACAACCATAACTATTTCAAATTTTCAATATAACTGCGGTACTATAATTAATGAGCTCACTCTGTTTTCGATTTGTGGCAGGATTTTGGTTATGTCCAAACAACATCTACTGAAGTATTGAAGTCCTACATATTTAATGAGCCAATTGTTGTTGATGCTGGTCGTTTGCCACCAGTTGGCCCTGCTGCTATGTTCATGGTATACTGTGTTGCATGCAGTATTAAAATTGAAGATTGTACAAAAATAAAGTTTACTTTTGACGACAGAAGCATATTCCATCATTAATGCCTTCCACTTTGACATGTGCAGCAAGGGACAAAAAGAATGCCAGGGACAGCTATTACCAAATCTGTCGTAGCAAATGAACCAGCCGGTAGAAAGAGGGAGGAAATTTTTGTGGATATAATTGAGAAAATAAGCATTACATTCAGCTCAAGTGTAAGTAATCTTGTTTCCTCTGGACTCAGTGACTCAGTGTATCTTGTGTTGTGCTAAAATCACAAGAGTGTAGGTCATGGAAAATTAATAAAAAAGTAGATTGTTAAAGATTAAAGGGTTTAACTAAATACAATTTTAACTAAATCAACGAATTCTAAATACTAATATACAAATTTTTAAATTTAATTTTAACGGAGTTCTGGCTGTTCTGTGAGTGTAGATTTTATCAACTACATTGTATTCAATATTTACTTAAATGAATTTGCCTCATTTTAACTCACCATATCACTAAAGTTATATGTTTTTCTCTTTGAGGTACAACACATGTATTTATATTACGGAGAAAACAATATCTGCCTTCATTAGGATAACCCATTATAAAGATTTTTAAATGTCGAGCTCAGTTAGGTGGGATCATACCATCACTAATGCATCTGATCCCATCCGAAATTAAGAACTCTGGAGTTAAGCATGCTTGGGCAAGAGTAGTACTACGATGGGTGACCCCCTAGGAAGTCCTCATGTTGCACCCCTTTGGAAAAACGATGTCCAGCTCATTGAAATTGTTTTCTGCATACTGAAAACATTAATTGGGCTGTTTTTCAAGCTGTGCCCTAGACGTATATTATTCATTTGTGGGCAGAAATTTCCACTGCCAAACTCAATTACTATAGTTGTTCCTCAAGGACATGGATTAAATCAATTTTCATGTAACAATAGGGATATATATTGACTTCTGAAATTGATGGCACCATTCAAATGAAGAGTTATCTTACTGGCAATCCAGAAATCAGATTAGCTCTTAACGAGGATCTGAGCATAGGCAGCGGTGGGGGATCAATATATGGTACTCCTATATTCAACTGTCCGGTCACCAGTTTATTGTGTTATTTTCTGGATTTTCTGCTTGTAAGTAACACACATGCACACACACGCACGCATGTGCAAACACGTATGTACGTGTATGTATGTATGTATGTATGTTTGTGTGTGTGTGTGTGTGTGTGTGTGTGTGTGTATAGTCAACAATTTGATTCTACGGAATATGTGAAGTTCTTTTTCATAATCTTCCCCTTGGAACAGATTATGGTGGCTCTTCTGGGTCAGGAGCAGTTATATTGGATGATTGCAATTTCCATGAATCTGTTCATCTTGATAGTTTTGACATAGACAGAACCTTGACACTAGTGAGTGGAGTAGGATTGTAAAAAAGCTTATTCATTTTGTCTTCTGCTGAAAACTGGGACATTGTTATACCAATTATCGAGGGCTTGATTTCATTGTCTAGGTCCCCCCTGATGGTGAATTCCCTGTCATGAATTACCGTATAACCCAGGAATTCAAGCCTCCTTTTCGAATCAATGCTTTGATTGAAGTAGCTGGATCACTCAAGGTAGACAATGCCTGCTTTTTTCTAGACTAAAATTCAATTTAGAAGAGCATTAGGTAGACCTGTATATTTATATTTTGAACTCATCTTCTGGGCTGGAAGGGGACTATGCCAATAAACAAATGAAACTATTTTTTGTCAAGACTTTTCATTATCAATGCACATTCATAACTACATTTGGGGGGGGGGGGGGGGTTGTAAATGTATTTAACTAAAGTAATTAAAGAGTAATTTGTTAACTATTCCAAACAAAATTATGGAGTACAGAGTACAATTTATTGGCACAAAGCATTAAAATAGATTATCAAATTAGAAAATTCACCATTACTCATAGAATTGGGGAACTTTACATAAATATTTTCTGATTCATTAAATGACATTGTTGCTTCCAAAATATTTACTCTTTAGATGTTTGCATCCGTGCTCCCTAATTAGTATGTATATATCGGTGCTCACAGGTCGAACCAATGGTCCAATCAGCGAAGGAGCACCGTTGTAAACATATAAAACTTCCGGGAGCAGCGGAGTCATTTATTTACGATTCTATTTTTAGTATTTTATTATTTTTTGTCGCATCCTTGCCGAGCCCGCATCCTCTATTTTTAGAAATACCATTTTCCGTCCCCGGCCCCTCCCCCTATATGCACCCGCACCCGTCCCGGTGAAACTTAAGATTGTTGTGATCCAGTTTACCTTTTAGTGAAGATGCTATTAAAAGAATTTTGGTACATGACCTTAGAAGATTTTGTATCGATTCATGTAGCCGACCCTATTGATTTGGGATTTAGGCTTGATTGTTGTTGAAGAAGCTACTAAGTATGCCATATATTACTAGGCTGAAGTAATTTTGAAGATTCGAGCTGAGTTTCCATCAAACATAACTGCAAATACTGTGGCAGTGCAGATGCCTGTGCCAGCATATACATCCAGGTATTAATGTACTCTTTTTATAATTTCTTGAGATAGACAGAGTATAAACAAGTTCAATTAGCCTAATGATGCACATGCTGCTGCTGTTATTATAATTTTTGTTATTCTCTATTTTTTGCATATTGGAGTTTCATTTCTACATATGGCTATATATTTGTTTTGTGACCCAAGACAAATTTGCTTTAGCCTGTATTACCCTTGTTTCCCTCTCTATTTTTAACAATCCTGACATCCAATATTGTCCTATTAGGTTGATGTGGTGTAATCACAATATGTAGATACCAGTCATACCACACAACCTCAATTTATGAAGTATGAGATGAGATTATTTTCATTGAGCATGCCATTGTATGGGTCCTGCTGCCCTCTGTGTTGTAGAAAAAAATGCCTTGCAAGTTGCAATATTATCTTATAAGGAAGATGTGTTGTGAATATGTGAGTACTGAGTTCATGACCAAAAGATGATGTAACGTAGTTTATGTTTTTCCTATCTAGAACTCTCTGAACACCCAATAAAAGAAAGAAATTGCAAATGGTCCATGCTACTATTCCCTCCATAGCTAGGGCAGCGTCTTAGCTTGATCTTTGAATAATTCAGGGTTAGTTTTGAGATGGAACCTGGAGCAGTTGGACAAACAACTGATTTCAAAGAATCCAATAGGAGACTTGAGTGGAGTCTGAAAAAGGTAAAAAAACATTGAATAATTCATGATGTTATGTAATGCATTGTGCTTTAATTCTTTTTATTTTATTTTATTTATATTTAAATTTCCTGATTTTCCCATCTATCACCTAGATTGCGGGTGGTTCCGAATGTACACTGCGTGCCAAGCTAACATTATCACAAGAATCACATGGTACAATGCAGTTTATGTCTGATCATATTTTTCATGCAAGCTTCTATTCTTATTCCTTATAATTAATTTATCAATAATTCATCTACCACAGCAAATATCACAAAGGAAGCGGGACCTGTAAGCATGACCTTCACCATTCCCATGTACAATCCTTCAAGGCTTCAGGTAAAATCTATAATGTTCAATTTATTATTCTGGGAGTAAGATTTCAAACCACGATATTTAGCTTGAAGGTTCTTTTAGCAAATTTTACTATGTGACACCGTTGGATTATAAGAATAATCTGAAATAAAAAATTCTATTGATGATAATCTTTGAGTACGATCCACTTGTGGCATTTCCCTGGGCAAGAGAACTCTACGTATCTACCTATGCACATACTCCGTAAGTTACAGTTAAACTGTGCTTATTTAGTTAAGAGTCGGGCTAATCCCATTAGGATTAGGGTTACTCATGATAAAGCTCCACACTTCCCCTTAAGATAGAGCATGCACGAGTAATTTCTATGTAACTAACTTGTTACAGATAAATCCAACTTTCAGTCCTTTAAGCAAACTCATTGATTTGATGAGCAGAATTAATGAATCTTGTAACATCGTGTCAATAAATGACGATTTTCTACTTAAGTGACAACCAACTTCTATATGTCTGGTCCTTTCACCTTACACTGGATTTGGGGCAATATGCTTTGCATCTTTGTTATCACACAAAAGCTGCATTTTTGTCACATCATCGTATTGCGATTCCTCAAGTAAATGCTTCAACTGTATAATTCCCAGGCCTAGTGAGTAGTGCTGATTCATGATACTTAGCAGCATCACTAGACTTTGCAACCACCTGCTTATTTCTCAAGGTATTAGATTACATCTAATTAGGCAATTAGCAGCCTCAACAAGGACTATAATTGTAGCATCCATGTTTTCCCAAGTTTTGTCACTTAGGCGGGTGCCTAATGGATTAGGCATTGTGGTCATGTGATGGCGAATTAGTTCTGCTTTCCAATGAGTCTCATATGTGTTTCTAACAGATAATTTCTCCCTCTCATTTGGTCCAAGCTTACCGCTAGGCTTAGCTGCAATTTGGAATGCCTGTTTCTTTGAGAACAACCGAATTATACTTTCTTTGAGAATTGACTAGAACCATTATGGTTGGGATAGAAGTTTGGCGTCAGGAACCGTATACTGAGGGGCAATCTCACATACCAGTTTCTTCAAGAATATCCGAAGCATACTTTGAGAAATGACTAACCATTATGGGTGTGGTAGAAGCTTGACGTTAGGAACCATAGGAGAGCTACAGAGCTGCGATCCAGCATGCCAGTTTCTTCAAGAACTCCATAGCATACTCTGGGAAATCACAAGACCATTATGGGTGTAGTTTTCAATAGACAGCAGGAGAAAAAAAGTACCCATCTAGAGGACTGAATATCGACCGCAGTCGTGGTCATTTTAGAGCTCATATACAAGGAAAGGTTCATACAAGAACTTTTGTAAGCACATTTAAGGGGGTTCAAGTCCATCAACACAAACCATTTCTGAACAATGAGGCTGGACCGCTGGATGACTGAATGACTAAACCGTGTTCGATCATTAATCTTCAATCTAATCCAATCGATGTAATGGGTAATAACGGATTACTGAATGTTTTTGTCAACATCTTAGACTGAGCACTAGTTTTATACGGAGTAGTACATTGTCCATCTCATTGCTTGTCCAGTTCTCCCTAAAGGATAAGATGGGTTTTTGTTGCAGGTGAAGTATTTACAGATTGCAAAGGCATCCAAATCTTACAACCCATATAGGTGGGTGCGGTATGTTACGCAGGCCAATTCTTATGTGGCTCGTATATGATTTATATATTGATGATGATAGAAGGTGGTTTGCGGGTGAATACACCTACTCGTGTAGAGCTGCAACTAGTCCCCCCCACTTGCCTCCCCCTCCCTTTGTTTTCTCAAGAATTTCCGAAGAAGATCATTTTGTTATATATATGCTTTATCATCATTTGTCTTACTGAATTAGTTTTTGTATGTACTTTATTTTTTTCAACAATTTGTTGTAATTTTTATTGTTTGAACTCAGAGTATTTGAAATCAGTATAATGTTGATGAGATTTTAAATAATTAAATTTGTTCTGTTTTTACTGATTAATTGTTACAAAAAGGTCTTATTTCTCAATACATAATTAGCACGTCTCTTTTAAGATGTAGGATAGAGTATGTTTTAAATGTGCTTTGGAAGATGTAAATCATATCAAATACTTATTTCAGTGTTGTCTAGTTATTTTTTTTTTGAGTTAAATTAGATAACTTTAATCACCAAGGATAGAGTATGTTATTTTTTATTTCCATCATCTCCGATGGAGTCAAAATTTCACCATTTTTTGGCTTTGGGGTGTGATGGAATAAATCAAAATGGATCTCTAAACTGTCTGCGCTTTTTTATTTAATGAAGTAGCAGTTAGTCAAGCAATGTAACTTTCGACGTTGAGCCAGGGGTCTCTTTGGAAACAGCCTCTCTACTTTTGAGTAGGGGCAAAGTTTGCGTACACACACCCTCTCCAGACCCTACTCTTGTGGGATTTAACTGGGTTGTTGTTGTTGTAATCACCAATTATTCTAATTTTGTACGGAGTACTCCGTATTGTATATTAAGACAATAAAATAAAATTTTGAAATTTTTTTTATATACATCTCATAAAATTATATTTAACTTAATACACATTGTCATTTTATTGAATTGAAAATTTAAGTTTATTTAGATTGACCGAAAGAATTCAAATAAAAGAAATACAAGTTTAAACTAAAGGTAATATGAACACTTGTATTGGGCCTAGTTTGATGTACCGTGCTTCTTGCTCGAAAAGTATACTACCCATTTCATTTTAATGGTGGAATGCTACCTCGGGACTCTAATCTGATAGGATTGTGAGTAGAATAAATTATGATATATTCCCTCCGTTCCAGAAAGAATTTCCTGTTTTGATTAACGTGCAAAACCCCGTAGATTTTAAAATGATTTTATTTGAAAATTGGTAAGGAAATAACACATAAAAAAATTATATTTAAAAACTACATTGAAAACTCTACAAAATAAGAGGCGACAAGAATATTTTATTTTATCAAATAATCAATAAAAACACGCAAACAAATTGGAGTTATCGAGGGGCCGTAATAGTAAACAGGAAAGACTTTTTGGGACGGATGGAATACTTTCAATCTAGTCTTAGATAGGTCATTTCATGCCCGGTGCGCTCAAAGAGTTATTACAAATAATAACTTTCACACTTCTCGTGCCGGGTGTGCTCAAGAAGTAATCAAAGTTCATTCTAAGATATAATTGGGTTTCTTTAAAAAGGTTCCTAGTTACTATTTATAGATCAAGTTAACTTTATTTTCTTTATACATTTTTATCAATCATTAGATAAAAATAAAATAACATTGTCGCCACTTATTCTGTACAGTAAATTTTTTATGTAGTTTTTAATTATTTAATTATTATTTTTTAATTATATACTGCGGAGTAATTTTTATTTTTACTTATTTTAGAATAATTTTAGTCGAACATCGTAAAACAAACATGAACCTTCTTTTAGGAGGGAAACTATATGTGATAAATATAATGTGGCAAACAAAAGAAGAGTAAAATGAGCTTATTCATTATTTGAGCTATGGTATGTGTCAATGTCAGATGCATCACATTCCAAAAGGTGAAACCGTTCACACCGAGTGTCCCTTACCTCCGCCGGACGAAATTGGGAGAGGAGATAAATCATAGGAAAAATGCTAGGGTGCCACCACATTGGTACTACCATGGGTGCACCCATGCTTCGCACAGACAAACACAGACGATAATTGTCTGTGTCGCACAGACAATTATCGTCTGTATTTGTCTATGCGAAGCATGAGTGCACCCATGTGATGGCACCCTAGCATGGTCCAACAACAAAAAATGAGACCAGTGTTCACTTTACACAAATAGCCCTCTCATTTGTTTAGAAGTTGCTCTTATCAGTCTTTTGTTCTAAATTCTACCCAGCATGCCCTGGCAGATGTATCGCATTCCAAATTTAGGGGTGTCGTGTTCTAATTGCCGATTAGAAATAGTTCGCACCTTTTTCTTTTTCTTGCTAGCTAACTAATTGCAGGTGAAATTCCAGTACTACTAGTGTCTAGCGTGAGAAGAATGGGGATGGAGAGCAGCGAAGAAGACGACGACTTCCCATTAATAGAGAGCGTAACCCCTCAGTCGAAGATCGACACCATTTATCAATCCAACACTGAAAAGGTCTGCACCAGTTTCTATATATATATATATATATATATATATGCGTGTCTGGCTGGATGAGACGAGCGAATCAACTGTTTGTTTAAAGCATGTAAAAATTTACTTGCTTGTTCCCCGCATTTCATTTCACCTTTTTTTGCTCCAAAAGAATGCACATCTAGGGATTATTTGGCTCTTAATTGTGTTCAATATTATGAAATTTTACTCTCTTACAAGCTCTTTGTTCTGAACTATAGCGTGATAATTTTACCTTTTTTTTTTTAAATATCTACACTAGGAAAAAAAGGAAATAGTAAATGCACCTTTCATGCCATTGTGTCTTTGAGTTTGAAGGTATCTATTTGGTCACAGGCTAACATATCAAGTATCCAATTTATACAGGGAATCAGAAAAATTTCTTTTGAGCTTTTAGAACTGAAAGATGCAGTCGAGAACATTAGTGGCAGTGCTCACACTAAGTGCTTGGCCTTCTTGAGGTATTTCCATATCAGGATTGCTGAGTTTGACTAAATGCCTATGGCAAAAATATACTACCTGACAGTAGTCAAATGTATGAACTGTTACTTCTTACTGCTTTTTACTAAATGTAACATTTTCCTCATTCTTCAAAGTTGAATTTGCCCAGCCAATAGTTCAACTGAAATGCATTCTTCTTGACCATATGTGATGACATGATAGGTATGTATGTTTAGGAATTCTTAAGTAACACTTGTACTGAGTTTGATGAGACATTGATTTCACACGAACCATCTATTTGATGAAGAAATGTTTTCTCTCATACTTATGTGACCATGTTTACCCCATTCCAATGATAATGCAAACTAGGACAAAAGAGGGAGTTTGTGGTAGGCATGTGGCACAAAATGGAAAACCTTGCCACATCTTAGGATTCAGTTCGAGGAAAACCATGCATGAAATATAATTCCTGTGATGAAAGGTGAATATTTGACGACAAAAGAGGCGAGGGAGGGGAAGAATTGAGAGCAGTTCTATGGCTAGGACGACAAGAGAGGTGAGAGTGGATAAGTGAGAGAAGATATAGGGTTTGGGTGCTAGGTTAGAATGAAAGATGAATGGGGATAAGCTTGGAGCGAGGCAGATGAAATGAAGATGGGGAAAAGGTTGAAAGGGTATAAGTGGTGGGTAAAGGTTACAAGGGTAAAATTTCTATTTAATATATTACTCTTTCCGTCCCATAAGAAACTTCTTACTTTCCTTTTCGTCCATCCTAAAAAAACCTCGTTTCCATTTAAAGTTAAGAATTTGTGGCTGAAAAAAGTTCTCTCTTCTCTTAACCAATTCCAACCACACCTTTTTCACTTTTTAACACTTTTCTTAAACTCCATGAAAGTGAAAGTGAGAAGGGAACGGAGGGAGTATTACTTTGGCAATTAAGATCAAGGTAACAAAATTTTAGAATGACTTAAGAAGGAAAGTGAAGAAAATTTCTGGACGGAGTGAGTAATTAGTGTATATAGGCTGATGAGCGTGGACCTTGCTCGTTAGACTTGTAAAGCTTTTTATTTGAGAGGAAGCAAACTAGTCTTTCCCTTCCTACTCCTGCAATACGCCTTACTGTGCCTTGAATTTCTAGCTCAATTCATGTGTGCAATTGCCTTTTTTTATTTATTAATAGGGGCATCTCCTAATATTTGATCCATCATTCATGATTCATCTGTATAATCTTATTATCACACTATCCAATGAAAGAAATATATGAGTTTTTTGAAATTCTCCTTACCTTCCAAAGTAGTTCCCTCCTTTGAAGTTGCACACTATGGTACCTACCAACCTTTTTTTGTTACAGTCAATCTTAGGAACATTGAGTTCCATTCTATTTAGTGTCTAGGTTGAATTTTATCCTTAACCTTTTTTGTTACAGTCAAATTCTCCTCTGCATATTTTTTGCTGAACTATGAAATTCTTTTTGAAACATCCCCATTAATGTTTCATCTATTTATCTGCTTTGTTGCTTAGAGAACTACTCATGCTGTGATAAATGTTTCGTTCTTCTTATCAGTTTTTGTCATTGTACTTCTTGTATTGTTATGCATTGGATTTTTTTAAACCAAAAGCGTAAATTTTACTAAGTAAAAAATGAATACATAGTTACGCGTTATATTAATTCCTAAACATGAGCTATTTGTGCACGCACTATAAGTTACATCAACTTTTACATATTAAAAAGGGGAATATATTAATGCCATTTTGTAATGGATTATAGGTTATCAGAAGAAATTGTGGAGACAAATCGCGAACTGAATGAGCTAAGAAAGCATATCTCCTCTCAGGAGATTCTTGTCCAAGATTTAATAAATGGAGCATGCCAAGAATTAGATTTATGGTGCCATGCTGTTTCTGATGTTAATGAAACTCAAGAAAGCTCTCAATATTGTGACTTAACAGATGGTAACTTCATAAACACACCAGAAGCTGTCCATTTATCATTTTTGGAGAGTATTGATGTTCTTCTAGCTGAGCACAAAATTGAGGAAGCAATAGAGGCAATAGATGCTGAAGAGAAAAGTCACCCTGAAACAAGAAGTGTAGGAGAGATGTCAATCATGTCATCTACAGAAACATCCCCCTATAGATCTGCATTGTCAAAAAGAAAAGCTATGCTTGAGAAGCAGCTTGTCGAGATCGCAGAGAGACCTTCTACTGCTGTTGTCGAGCTCAAAAGGGCTTTATCTGGTTTGTTGAAGTTGGGGAAAGGTCCCTTGGCACACCAGCTTCTTGTTAAGTCATTTAAGTTTCGCCTTCAGAAAAGCATTGAAGCATTCCTTCCGCTGTGCTCTTGTTATCTCGAGACATACTCAGCCACTTTGTCTAACCTTGTATTCTCTACTATTTTA